GCATAGCTCAGGCAGCAATCTAAGCAATTTATCGACCCACTAGTTGTTGAGGCTAATTTCACAAACGCACTATGCGGTCCAATAGATAAGGAGGCACTACAAGACTTCATGGCCACCACAGGTCTCACAGCTGAACAACTCATGGGGGAGCATCGTTACCAACAGGCGACTATGATATTTACCAGACCTATGTGTATGGCCAGAGTCTTGTCAACCCTAAGTACTACTCATCACTGGGTACGCAGATGTTCTTGTTGAACGAGTGGTACTTAAAAGTGACCGAGAATGATGGAGCAGCATGGCTTGTTGCCAGAGTGAGACCAGAGCATTACTTGGGCTATGACGTTGTACATATTGAGTTCAATGAATTACACCAACTATTACACCGGGATGCTCTCGACAAATCTCTCGTCAGCTGTTGGTGTCTGTAAGTGATTCTTTCTACAATTGAATTGCAGTAACTTGCATGTTAGTTCGTTGTTCATATATAGTTATCCTCACACTATATATATTGTACTATATATATGCAGATATGAGATGCTAAAACTAAAGAAAAAAGCGATGACTGAGGTTGGTTTCATTGATCCAAATCCCGTATTCAAGGACAGGGTTACTCCATATGATAATGGCGACCTCAAGTGGAGAAGCTTATGTTCAGGTTATTAGATAAGAATGCTAACAAGACACCGATACTCTTCCCATACGGCTTCAAGTGAGTGTGAATGTCTTGTGTCCATTTTATTTTGCTTATTCCATGTTGACTTTAGTTAATGAGTTATGCCTACGTATAAACATGCAGCTTTCACTGGATACTGCTGGTCATCGATATGACCAGAAGTCATGTAAAAATCTTTGACTCAGCGACAAAACCCGAGCAGATTACCAAGAAATCCTCGATATACTCCAGTGGTAATTTCGGTCTCGCACACACTGTATTCTCTCTTATGGCATTTTAATGATATAACTCCATTTATTTATTTTGTTGAGCAGTGCTTGGAAAACGTTTAACGAGAAACACCATTATGGTAATTGGAAAGTGCCTCTGCATATAGTCCAATACCCAGTAAGTACTATCTAGGTCACCATATCTTTATTTAATTCAATTCATTATTACCATGCTTCATTGGTTGATGATCAATCTTTTTTTTGTAAAGTGGTGTCTGTAGTAGGGATCGGGAAACAACTTATGTGGATACTACGTCTGTGAGTTCCTCATGGAGTACTCAAGGAGAACAAGTGAAGAGATCCTCGAAGTATGTAAAAAATTTACACAATTTATTTATTACCATTATGTTGATATATATAATCATATATATATTCATACTTTTGCTCTTATTCGAATTAAAGATTGAATGGAGGAAGCAAAAGGTCCTACAATGTGACCAGATCAAAGCAATTCAAGAGGTATTATCAGGATTTCTTTTGGAGCAGGTCATAGATCCCAAGGACACGTACTACTATAACCCTAAAGAATTCATACCTAGTAGCCAAACGACGGAAGATTAGGGTTGCAAGAAATCCCAAGGATATAAGTACATTCGTGACTTTATTACATATGTACATATTTCATGCATGCACAACCTCTTGAAATATTTGTATATATATAGTTTCATACATTTTAGTGTTATTTATGTATAATGCTCGAACAGAACCTTATACGTACGTATATAAGGACGTATATTAGCAGCGTAGAATTCGTATACGAAAAGCTAATCGAAACAAAAAAGAATTGAATTGAAAAGAAACCATAAAATGAAAATGAATAAAATGGAAAAAATAAATGAACTTTTAGTACCGGTTGGAAACACCAACTGGGACTAAACGTGCTAGCCCCGGTGCAATGTCTAGGTGGTCATTTAGTCCCGGTTGATAATAGCAACCGGGACTAAAGGTCCACTTTTAGTCCTGGTTCCCAGAACCGGGACTAGGGGGGCTTTAGTCCTGAATTCGCAATTCCGATTGGGCAACCGGGATTAAAGGGGGTTTTTCAACCGGGATTGCAACCTAGTCCTGCACTAGTGACCATTTCTTGCACCTGTCACTCGCGCCCCGTCCACACCCACACGCATGCAGGCGGGCCCAACAGCTATAGCAAGCGGCTGCGGCAGATGTGTCCTACTGCAATATGTGCAACATCATATCTACTTTTGCAATATCTGGATAAAACACTTGCAACATACGTCCAAAACAGTTGAAACACTTGCAACATACGTCTAAAACACCAGAAAAACACGTGTGTAGCCATTGCAAAACATATGCAATATCGAGACAAAACACTTGCAACATATGTGTGAAATATATGTAACATCCGGATGAAACGCTTGCAACATATGTGTGAAGCATATGCAACACCCAGATAAAACACTTGCAACATACATCTGAAATAGCTGAAACATTTGGAACAATACATTTGCAACATACGTATATAGCCATAACAACATATGCAACATCCACATGAAACACTTACAACATACATATGAAACACCTAAAACACTTGCAACATACACTTGCAACATACGCTTTCAGCGCAACATCTTCTTGCTGCTTGGGCGAAAGATGCATCATCTTTTTGCTGCTTGGGCGAATCGAGGCTCGTCGACGTGAAGCTCGACACCGGCACGAAGTTCGCTGCCACGGAGGTCGCTAGTGCGGAGCTTGCCAGCAACACGCAACCCGCTGGCGGCAGCACGGGGCAGAGCTCAGCAATGACGCGTGGACGTCGGCGGCACAAAGCTCGCCGGCAACATGGGGCTCTCTAGCGGCAGTGTGCGCAGAGCTCAGTGGCGGCACATAGAGGGCGGGTGGGGTATGGCATGACACGCGCGGGACGGTGGCTGCGCGAGTTTGAGACGGGGAGGAGATGCACAAGCTCCACAACATCCTTCCTCTCCCTATTGCTTTGAATGAAGAGATGGAGGAGAGAGAGACAAGATAAAACCGGAGAGGACAAGTCTAAGTGGCCACCTGAGTGTGGTGTGACGCCGAACGGACGTCCACGGTGGAGCATTACCGTTTTTTCTCTCACAATTTCTATGGTCTCTCATCTCCTCTTTCCTGAGGCTATGGCGGCTTATGTAGGTACTCCTGCCACCTGCACGGCATCTACTTTTTTATCGAACATAGGGGCCTGACGAAGCACAGATAAAAGGCAATGCGTTGAGGTTGCTCTCACCCAGATCATCCTGCACCAAGAGTTTCTTCCTAACCACAACAACCAAGCTCCGCGCGCGCGCCCACAAAAAAAAACATCACGAACACACAGCACCTCAAACGCACACCTTAAGTCTCAAGTTCGTTTAACAAATCATACTAGCTTTTCAAAATGAGCACTCATATTTAAAAAAATGAACAGTGGGCTTAACAAAAGAAGGGTGCCGGAGACCGTACCCTGTGGGTTCACAAATCACAACCGCCGCAAAGGGCGGTCGGAGTTTCTACTGCTAGCCAACGCCGCCAGGTTTGTCTCATCTTTCAGCAGTTCAGCGGCAGATCCTGCAACCTGCCCTGAACCAGCACACTCATCAAACAGTGATGCACACTCCAGCATGGATTCAGGACGCAACGGGCAGCCATCTTCTAATTCAATGCATTATTGAAACTCATAGCTATCATAGTCATGAACATCGTAGGTCTGGGATGTCTGCTAATTCTAAAGCATAACAGCAGTTGAGTACAAATACAGCCGATTGCCGTTGTTGGCATAGAGAAGCATATGCTCGATTATATTAGTAGGCCAGATGTTCCATGTCACAAAGTTAACTCTTGTTCTAGCAAACTGATCCTGGGTCTTAAGTTTTTGCTATGTAATTAGCACATCCTGCTGTCGCGAGTGCAAAATCCTGAACTGTACGCATTTGCTATCTTTTCTCGTTTTCACAACAGGGGCCTACCATACAGAAATCAAATAGCACAATGCATGCATAGAGCAACACTAGTATTAGTAGTAGAGTAGAAGGTTGTTCCAAATCTGAACTTTAGTTGGTTAAAAAATCATCAGACTGATGATGTCATCATGGTGGATAGGCCCTGCTAATGCTAATAATATAATAAAGGCAGAACCTCTCTTCATCATAGATAAACTAAAGCACAATAGACAAACATAAAACCCATACTATTGCATCTCTTGGCAAAAATAAAAGATGAGTCATAAGAATTTTTTTTAGAAAAAGGAAAGAACTTTTTTTCCTGCTTCTCTGTTCTGTGTTTCTATTTCCTGATCCCGTTTTATGAACTACTGTATTAAGCTGTGCTCGAAACATACCAATGACCTATATATAATGAAAGCAACTCAGATCCATAGAACAGAAAAAGCAAGCACTTGTACCTCTCTCGTATGTTATATTTGAATTTCATATAAGTTAAAGATAATCAGGCAACAGGAAGCGTGCCTTGAAACTAGGAATTTACATACAAACTTCTCATAACTTCTTGTACTTGAAGGACACTAATAGAAACTTGAAAAGAATCATTTGGAAAACAGCATTACAACTACACACGGATCTATGAGCAGTATAGCAAATTCTAATATATCAGTTCCGCCCAACAAAGTTAGAATTCTAATAAACAGATGTCTAGCCAAATTGAAATATAATGACCAGATTCATAGGCTTCTAACATGTCGGTAATATCAGATAGGGGACAGAAAACCATGCAGTGATGTTTTTGTTTTCTTTTGGAAGGAATGCACAACGCAGTAGTGATGTTATAAGCTTGATTTGGTTCCAAAGCACAACGTAAGCAACTATCTATGCATTGGAATTAGTAATTTACATTTGAACAATTCAGGGTTCTTTTTTTTTCCTGGGTCATGATTAACTGTAACATCACAAACTTCATTCCAAAAATAGCAATACAAGGACCTACGATCAGTATAGCAAGCTAGAGTGCTAGAGCAGTCCCATCAAAGGGCAAAAAGAATGACAACAACTAACCTTTTGCAAGCCAACCAAGTTCTGAAAGATACTGGCAATTTCACTATAACTGCGATCAATTGATTTTCATCACAACATCTCCTTGATGAAGTCAAGGTTGAGTGTGTCACGCACAATGAGGAACATGCCAACCATGAGCACCACCAATATCCCTGATGACATAATGCCCTGTTCCACTTCTCGGGGAATCTTGCGGCCACCACGGGCTGCCTCAAGAAGGATCAATGCCAATGTGCCACCGTCCAATGCTGGCAAGGGTAACAAGTTTATGGCTGCAAGGTTGAGGTTGATCACCGCCGCAAACTGAAACAGACCATCCGCACTGGACCTGGCCACTTCTGCTCCAACTGCGATGATGGCAACAGGGCCTGACACCTTCTCGGCGGACTGAGAAAAGTTGAGCAATGTCTGCCTGAGCCCGTCAAACACCGTCCCGGTCAAGAGCGTGAACTCGCGCACGGCAAGGACGGTGGCGTCGGCCAGGTTCTTGGGGCGCACGCGCGTGACCATGACGTTGGGGGAGAGCTGCACGCCGATGCGCCCCATGCCATCGGCGCTGGTGTCCGGCACGACGGTGAGCTCAACGGACCGCCTGTCCACCGCCCCGGGACCGGCTCTTGAGACGGTGAGGGGCACCTTCTTGCTGGGGCTGGCCTTGATGAGGTCGACGAGGACGGGCACGGACGGGTCCGGCGCGGCGCCGGGGACAGCGAGGATGATGTCCCCGGGGAGGAGGCCCGCGCGCGCGGCCGCGGAGCCCGGGAGGACCTCGGGGACGAGCACCCCGGGGAGCTGCGCCTGGACGGGGACGCCGACGGTGAGCGCCTGCGCGTAGACGATGAGGAAGGCAAAGGCGAGGTTGGCGGCGACGCCGGCGGAGACGACGAGGAGGCGGTCCGGGACGGGGCGGTTGCGGAGGAGGTCCGGGTCGTCGGGCGCGAAGCCGGACTCCGGGTCGTCGTCGGGGAAGCCGACGTAGCCTCCGAGCGGGATGGCGCGGAGCGCGTACTCGACGGGGCCGAGGCGGAAGCGGGCGAGCGCCGGGCCGAAGCCGATGGAGAACTGGGAGACGTGGATACCCCGGGACGCCGCGGCGAGGAAGTGGCCGGACTCGTGGACGAGCACGATAGCGGCCAGGACGGAGGCCGCGGAGGCGACGGACTCGACGCTGGCGAGGAGGTCTGGCGCGGCGGCTGCGGCGACGGCGGCGGCGGGCTTAGCGAGGTGGCGGTGGCGGTGGCGGCGGGGGAGCGGGAGCGGGAGGTGCACGAGAAGGTAGTGGTGGTGGGACTGGGAGGTGGAGTGGAGCGGGGACAGGAAGCGGTGCTTCAGGGTTGGGGAGAGGTGGGTGGTAATCATGGTGGGAGGGGCGGAGGAGCTGGAGGAGGAAGAAGCCGCAGTGGATAATCTGGCATTCTTGGGAAGGAGGGAGTTTGAGGTGTGGGGTTGACGGCAGAAAAGGCGACGTGGACTCAATGGCTGTGTGGTGCAGACGAGGCGGAGCAAATAGATCGGCTAGTCAGTCTGTGTTACGAGAACTAGCCGCTGATTCGCAAATTGCAAACTACTGGAGTACAGTAACATTTTAGACCCATTTCTAGGATAGGGAGGATAGGGCTTGGTAGCGGCCGAACGTCAGACGTCTGCACCAGCAATCATTTTATAACATCGTTTCACGCGTCCACGTAAGGTCCGCGCCACTCCGAACGTCACCAATAAAGATGGCAACGGCTACTGATACCCGACGGGTATTTAATTTAGTAGGAAACGGGATGGGATTATATCTTTATCTGCGGGCATCTAAATAGGTAAGAATTCATCCCCAACGGGTATAGCGGGTACGGGGACGTTCTCTGTTTACCCGTTCCCGTTACCCGTTGAGGAACCCGACTATTTGAGCTGTCATGTGAGTATTAGGCCTAAAGAAGCTGAACATAGGTATTTTGGCCTAAATCTGAAAAATCATATATATAGTTTGTGTGTTCTAGGAACCCTAATTCAATTTTTCCTTACCATCTCCGCCAGTAGCACAAGCACGCCTGCCTCACGAGTGCTCGTGCCCCTCGCTTCCTCAGTTCGGTGTCTCTGCCACCTTTGCTCGTCCTCCTCGCAACCTCGCTCCTTCTCCTCGGCATCTCCGAGACTCCGACACTTATACCCGGGTGAAGAAGAAACGTCTTCGATTGCAAAGCTGCGACCCCAAGTGTCCTTGTTTATCGAGTATGCAATACCCGTCGGGTATCTGTTACCCGACCGATGCCCGACGGGTATGGGGATGGACAAGAATCTATACCCGAGACAGTTAATGGGGATAGGGACGGAATGAATTTTCCATAGCGGGGAAGAGAACGTTCCGGCGATACCCGACGGGTACATCCCCGTTGCCATCCATAGTCACCAACATCCACAAGAGAGGGAAGAGAGGGAGGAGGCGGCGGATGTCCAGCTGGTCTCGAGAGGAAGAGGAGTCACCAAGGTGAGGAGGGAGATGCAACACTTGCAACATACGTCTGAAGACACACTAACACTTGAAACATGCATCTGAAACATTTAAAAAATATCTGAAAAACACTTGAAACCATAGTAAGAACATACGCAATATCTAGATAATATACTTACAAACATATGTATGAAACATATGCAACATCGAGATAAACACACATGTAACATACGTCTGAAAACAGATAAAACATTAGAAACAAAAGCTTGCAATATACGTGTACAAATATTACAACATATGCATCATCTCGATATGCTTTTGCAACATCCATATGAAACACTTGCAACATGCCTTTGAAACATCTGAAACACTTGAAACAGACGCTTACAACATGCGCTTTCAAGCACATCCACTTGCTGCTTAGGCGGAAATGAAGGCTCGTCAACACGGAACTTGACGCCGGCGTGGAGCTCGATGCTACAGAGTGGCATGGAGGTCGCTGGTGTAGAGCATGTCGGCGGCACGTACCTCGGCAGGGGCTGCGGTAGGTTGATGGAGTGCAGCCGCAACAGGAGGCGCGAGTACGTAGCCTTGGGCCAAAAATACCAAGAACCAAGAACCGAACCGAAAATACTGAGGACCGAACCGAAAATACCGAAATCGAATTTTTCGGTACCATATTCAGTTCCTAATTCCCAGGAACCAAAATTACCGAGGTAAATTCGGTTCTTTACCTCATGGAACGGAATTTACCGAATTACCTGAAATGTGCCGAGTTTGAGTGTTGTTATATTATTGAGGGTACTACTGTAGACTATTATATTATGTATTTGTGGTACTCACTCTTATAGTCTTGTTGACTTTTATATGTATATTTATTTTGCACTATTATTCTTTATGAAATCATGTCAAAATTAGCTTTTAAACCTGCTATTACATGTCTATGTTATCAGTTCGGTACTGTTCGGTAAATACTGAAACCGAACCGAAAGTACTGAAACCGAATTTTCTCGGTACTGATTTTTGGAAGGAACCGATCGGTACCTATTTTCTAAGGAACCGAATTTCTGTGGGAACCGAAGTACCAAACCGATCGGTTCGATATTACCGAATGCCTAGGCTGACGAGTACGGGTGGAGGTAGCGTGGGGGAGGGCGTGATCTGTCCCGCGAGCATGGGCGCGCAGTGGGGGCGCGTGGCACGAGCAAGACTGGGCGAGGTAGGGCGTGGGATCCGTTTTGTGAGCAGGGGTGAGCAGCGCATAGGCGTCGCAGAGCGAGCAGGCGATGCGGATAGGGGGGCCACAAGCAGGTCCGTTCGGCGATCCGAGCATCTCTAGGCGCCTTTCTAAATCTCACTCTCTAAATCATCATTTGGAGAGCTATTTGCATAAAAATCGCTTTCTATATCTTTTTACTCTTCAATAGTTTTTTCTATATCTCATGCGTACCTAGAGAGCTATTCTCGTCTTCTATTTTTTGCTAGCGAAAAATTCAAAATAAAAGTTGGCTATATTTAAATGACCATTTAAAAAATTTATTAAAGAATAATTTTTTACTAAAATCTCTATTCCTATCCTTTAGAAAAGATACGAAGAATGTCTTGAAGATGCTCTTATCTTCAACACAGGACGGGAGGGAACCAGATCCTCTGCGGTCGACCCTCACGGCTGCCGGGTGGTGCAGTCGCTCCATCCCGCCGTTCCTTACCATCCAACGGACCAGCTGAGCCCAGGTGCTCCACCTCCTTCGTGCGTCATTCCGGCCCAACAACACGGCCTCCTAAGCGTAAAAAGCAGCGGTGTTTCTTCTTCTTCTTTTTTGGCGCAACAGCTTGCGTTTGCCTGCGAGCTCACCATCTGGTCGCCCACCTAGAACAGCATCGCCCATCGAGAGCTCTCCCGGAACCAAGACCGCACGAAGAACACTAGGCCGTCGTTTCGTCCTCGCCGCCGCCGTGGCCGCCATCACGTCGTTGCCTCCGCGCGTGGCACAGCAGCGGGCTTTCCACTCGTCGGCGAACTCGCGGTTGACGCGCCCCCACAGCTCCGGGGTACCGGTTGTGCGCGGCGACGCGGTCCTTGCTGGAGGGCAGCCGCACGTCCAGAGGCCTCGTCGAAGTCAGCCATCCAGCTGCTGACGCCGTGGTCCATCATCCCGTGCAGGAACGATGCTCTTGAACCAGGCGTGCGCCTCCGGGTTGGTGAAGTCGAGCATCGCGACGTCGAACGCCGTGTTGGGCATCATGTATGGCTCGCCGGCCTCGTCCCTCATCACTCACAGGATGCCCAGCTTCTTGGCTTCCTTGAATTGGTGCCTCTTCGTGTTCGGCTTCGGATCCATCTAAACAAGAACATGCCACCGTTTTCAAACAAAATTCAGAACACCATGCACACCTGCCCTGCTCGTGCTCGGTTGCCATTGATACGAGAAGTGGAGTACTCTGCACTCCTAGATCTTTCTCTCTACTCTGCACTCCTAGACTGCCTGTGCTCCGGGTGCCCATAAGGTTGACGTCCACCATCCGCATGATCTCATCCATGTCCTGCCTCTCAAGCTCCCGCGACGCGAACACGCCGTGGTTGCAGACCACCACGTCGACGGGGCCGGCCTCCTCGAGCGCTCACGCCACGGTGGAAGCGTCCCGCACGTCGGCCGCGTGGACGCCGACGCCAACGCCATCGTCGCGGCCCGAGTCGCGCTGGATGAGCTCGCGAGAGCGACGGCGGTGGAGGGGAAGGAGACCGACCGAGTTGCGACGGCGGCGAGAGCGACAGAGGACCGATGCTTGCTTTCTACGCTAAACGGGCCATGGGCCATGTTGTTGGGCCGGAACGACGTGCGGAGGAGGTGGAGCGCCTGGGCTCAGCGCTGGTGCGTTCGATGGCAAGGAACGGCAGGGATGGAACGACTGCCGGATGTAGTCGTGAGGGTGGACTGCCGAGGATCTGGTTCCGGACGGGAGGCCCTTCTTATCTGATCCCTCGCCCAGAGCCCGAGCGGCGTCGCCATCGTCCGTGCGGGATCGCGGAAGGAGCGCCGCCGCCCCCGCTCGGAGTCGCCCCGAGCCTCCCTGTCGCCTGCGCGGTGTCGTGGAAGGAGCGCAGCTACTCTCTCGGAGTCGCGGAGCGCCGCCGCCCGCTCAGCACCTATTCAGGAGGTCGACATCTCACATCGAGGACTCGGCCGCCGTGCAGCTCCACCAGGTCGCGCCGCTCGCCCTGCACCGTGCCTCCTCCACCAGGTCACGCCTCCGGGAAGGGCTTAGCCGAGACGCTGCAGCTCCAAGTCGCCGGCTGCCGAGGTGCACCTTCCTCCGCTCGTCGCGATTCTCAACCCGACCTGCCTTCAGCGCTCGTGGACTCTGGAATAGATGGGACAGGAGATCGTAATGGCAAATTAAATAGTAGAAACACAATCGGAGGAAGGTGATGAATTGCGTGATCGTGGTGGCTTGTGGGCAGAGGAAGGGCCGAAGGGGAACGGACGAAGACGGTTCAAGAGATAATTAGTGAATGGGCTTAGTGGGTTGCCGTGGGCCCTCTTGGATGACGTGGCTTCACGAGATCTAAGAGAAATATCCTGATGGGGTTCTCCTGTTTAGGTAAAGTAGATAAGATCTCTACATTTTTTTTCCTTCCCATTGATGGCTTTTTAGTTTCATATTGGTCACTAATGTTGAAAACCATTTTTTGTTGCGTATTAAAGCTGTGGTTGTAATATAATGATCCTGGATCGATGCCTTTTATTTAAAAAAGGTTTTATTAAAGCTTGGAATTAAGTTTGTGTGAGGAGAAAAAAAAAAGATAGATGAGACTACGGTGTAATAACGGGTTGCAGATGTAAAGTGAGCGGTGATCGGTTGTTCCTGTTTATAAAATTGTTTCCCTCTATGCACAAATTTCTATTTAAACTTAAAT